TAATAAAGCAAATTATTTTGTGGACCCGAGTCCACCTTGCAAGATGGACCTGTGTCCAAAGATACACAATTTACATACTAAATATTCACAATTAAATTTTAAAATTTCACATTTTGTGATGATCCTGTATTGTATTCACAAATGCTCAAAACTTAGAAACACAATTTATATTATATTAATGGGCTGAATCTATAATTTAAGTACAATTAATGGACTAAAACTGTCATTTTTCCAAGTAAATATTTCAGAACCATTGAAATTTACTTTTAATCTTCGAGAATTATAGTATTAATACATTTTTTTTGTTACTTTTATCTGCTTACCACAATTAATTTTCTATTTAAAATTATTTCATTCAAGTGTTTAATTTATAAAATGACTAATATATAATTTCATCATTCAATTAAAAAGAGTTTAGAGAAGTGAAAAAGAAATTACATGTTAGGGAAAAATGCTTAAATGATAAAATTACATGTCAATCATATTTATTAAATGGTAGAATGACAAAATTTTAAATATGGACTAATTGTAACAAGTAAATAAAAGAGTTTCCAAATTGTTTTACATGTTTTTCTCTCTTAAAAAGAAAAAGAAGAAAAGAATATCATAGCAACATTTAGAAATTTGTTTTTCCTTTTCTATATGCTTCAAGTTTTCTATGAATTTTGTTGCTCATATTTTGAAGTGAAACATAAATTAGTGTAAATTAAAAATTTCCAGTATGCTAATCGGCTGGGGATTGATTAATATCTAGGCATATAATCAATTGTTGTGATTAGAATTATTGAATTAAATGATCTATGAGAATAGAAGATTATAAGTTTGAATTTTGATTAGTTTTTCTGCGTTGATTAGCATATGTACTGAAATGTTGCGTTGTAATATTTGAGTGATTGTTCAGAATTTGGGTTTTTTTAATTGGCATTTTGCTTCATGCAGATGAAGTAACAACCAAATTGAAATGCTAAATGATCTTAAGAACACAAAAATTGTTACTGGTTCTTTTGCAATAACAAATGATCCGAATGCTTGCATTGAAGATAACATCAAAAAGCGAAAACGTATGAAAGAAATGTAAGATGTTTGGAAACATTTTGCTAAGTTTATTGATAAGGATAGTAGTAAACAATGTGCTACTTGTAATTACTAAAAAAAAAAAAAGATTATGCTCTTGAAAAAAAAAAAAACATGGAACTAGTAACTTGTGGAATCATTTGGAGGATTGCAAATTATATAATATTGATTCTACTCAAACTCACTTTTTTCCTATAAAGCACATGTTGAATGGTGAAACTGAGAAGGGTGATATTAGGGATATGAAAACTTGGAAGTTTGATAATGAAGTAGCTAGGAAAGGATTGGCTCCTATTATTGTTATTGATGAACTCCCATTTTGCTTTGTTGAAAAAAGAGGGTTTTCGAACTTATATTGATCTTATAACACCTCCGGAATATCAACTTCTTTTACGGAGAACTATTACTAAAGATATTTTTTGAATTATATATTGACTTGAGGTGTAAGTTAAAAATGTGCTTAATAAGTCAAAACAACGAGTGTCTCTTACAACAGACACTTGGACTTCTATTCAAAGAGTGTCTTACATGTGTATCACAACTCATTGGATTGATGCAAATTGAAATTTAAATAAAAGGGTAATTAATTTGTGTTTAATCGAAAGTCACAAAGGATAATTGGTGATGTAATTTTGAGGTGTTTGGTTGATTGTGGTTTAGATAAGTTATTTTGTGTCACAGCTGATAATGCAACTTCTAATGATAATGTCATTAATAAGAGTTTGAAAAATATGCTGAAGAATTGGGGGACTAATATAATGAATGGTGACCTACTTCACATGAGATGTTTTGTCCATATTATTAACTTGGTTGTTTCAAAGGGACTGAAAGAGGTAAATGACTCTATAAATGTTGTTAGGGTTGCTGTAAATATGTTAGACAGTCTCCTGCAAGGTTGAAAAAATTTAAAGAATGTGCAGTTTTTGCTAAAGTTAATTGAATGCACAAAAGCTCTTTATTTAGATGCCAAAACAAGGTGGAATAGTGTGTATTTGATGTTAGATGTTGCATAAAAGTATGAGAGAGTGTTTGAAAGATATGAAATTGAAGATCCTTATTATGTTAACGAGTTAACATCTGGTGTTGGTTAGTATGAAGATGAAGCTTCATCAAGAACTCCCAATGAAAGGATTGGGGGTTGTTAGAAGAATGGTAATTTTTTTTAAATTTTTTTTGCCACTTTTATCGGCTTACTATAAAAGTTTCTTGAAGTAAATATGTGACTGAAACACATTCTTATGTGATATTGAGACACTTCATGCAAAGATAAATCAGTGGAGGGATTCCACAGATATTGATTTGACTATAATGAAAATTGGGATGTGATTTAAGTTCAATAAGTATTTGGGAGAAACTAAAAAATGAATATAAAATTATATTTCTTGCAGCTATAGTAAATCCAACTCAAAAACTGTCATATGTGAAGTATATATATGTTAAGTTGTACGGAGAGCAAAAAGGAAAGCAACTGTTAGCAAAAATTACAGAAGCTTTGTGTAATATTTTTAATGAATATGAGACAATAAATTCTATTCAAGTTCCTGCAACAAACAAATTTGCCCCTACTGTTGTGGATTTTCAGTTTTCAAGTGTTGAAGATGATCAAAATGACATGAGTGATTTTATTTAGTGGCATGCTAATGAAAGTGGTCTCCTTCAAATAAAATTGAGTTAGACAAGTATTTAGATGAAGCTCTTGAGCCTTTAAGTGATAAATTTGACATACTTGCTTGGTGGAAGGTGAATGAACCTAGGTTGAGAAAGACAATGCAATCCTTCAAGAGATAAAAAAAGACAAACATCTCATACTTTTTCAATTTTGTATATTTTTAATATTACTTATTGACTTGTTCTCTCCATGACTCTCTCTGCCCCTTCTTCTTTTTCTTTTTCTTTTTTTTTTTTTTTCCAATTATTAATATTTAATTTTACTATATTAGGTTTCAGAAGAACAAATATGGATTCAAATTCAACTCTTGAATGCTAAAAAGAAATGACTTTGACTAACAACTCCAATTCACAAGCAGACAAACACTAATTTTGTATGTATAACGTATTGAATTCTTAATTTTAATCCAAATAGAATTATAAGCTATTAACTAATGCTATTATATTTATTTTTTGCAAAAATTTATGAACAGGAAACTAGTTGATTTGGAATCTTGGAGATTGTTGGAAAAAGTCTAAAAGAGACATTAGATTTTGATTTTTTTTTTAAGTAGTATTTTGGTGCATTTTCATTAATTTATGCTTGTTATGGAATTTATTATCTTTGTTATTTTAGACTACTTTGACTTTTGATAATTTTTTTTGAGTTAATACCCAATTTGGTCCATCGATTATTAGGATTTCACCACTTTGGTCCTCGACTACTAAAATTGCTCAATTTAGTCCCTAACTATGTAATTTTTACCTAAAATAGTCCATCGACTATTAGGATTTCATCATTTTGGTACTCAACTACTAAAGTTGTTCAATTTAGTCCCAAACTATGTAATTTTTATCTAAAATGATCCCTCGACTATTAGGATTTCACCACTTTGGTCCTCGACTACCAAAGTTGTTCAATTTAGTCCCCAACTATGTAAATCTTAACCTAAAATGATTTGGGGACCTTTTTGGAGTGTCGAGGACCAAAGTGGTGAAATTCTAATAGTCGAAGGACCATTTTATGTAAGAATTATATAGTTACGGACTAAATTGAGCGACTTTGGTAGTCGAGGACCAAAGTGGTGAAATCCAAATAGTCGAGGGACCATTTTAAGTAAAAATTGCATAGTTAGGGACTAAATTGAGCAACTTTAGTAGTCGAGGACCAAATTGGTAAAATCCTAATAGTCGAGGGACCAAATTGGGTATTAACTCTTTTTTTTTTTTTTGAATACTAGTGACTTTTGGTAATTGATTCAATGGCATTACTGATTAGTATTTCACATTTTTTAATTGGATTAGAATTAATTTTTAAACATTTAAAATATTTTTACTTAGGTTTGAAACAGATGATATATGTGTTTCTTTTGATCTTTTGTTAGCTATTTTATTCCCCAAAGAAAGTATTATAACATTTTTTTTTGGATATATCCAATTAAACCCGAAAATTAATTTGATATAATTTCACCCGAATCAAACATATCCGAATTAAATTTGGTTTGAATATCGGGTGTAAAAAAAAATATCACTCAAAATTTTCGGATATCCGAAATAAAATTCGGGTATCACCTGAACCAAACCGACGCCCACCTCTAGCTAGAATGAAGCCCAACTGTTATGTGATGAAGCGTTATGATATGGACCCGTGTCCACCATGTGCATGGTGGACACGCTGTACATTCATAATTTCTATACTATATATTCATAATTTTTATACTATAGATTCATAATTTTTATATTGTAGATTCATAAAATTTATAATGTAAATTCATAATTTCTATACTGCACATTCATAATTTCTGTACTGTAGATTCATAATTTCTGTACTGCACATTCATAATTTCTGTACTGTAGATTCATAATTTCTATACTATAGATTCATAAAATTTATAATGTAGATTCATACAGTACATAAATTATGAATGTGCAGTATAGAAATTATGAATCTACAAGTATAGATTTTATAAATCTACAATATAGAAATTATGGATCTACAGTTTAGAAATTATGAATTTATAATATAGAAATTATGAATATACAGCGCATGGTGAACACGGGTCCATGGCATAATTTGCCTCATGTGATATGATAATCGAATCTGCCTGGAAATTTCGTGGGTTTGACTAATATGCCTTGTTTGTCATATTACACAAATTAAAGTCATGGGTAATATTAAAAAGTATTTAATTTTAATATGACTAGTCTGCCTAGTTTATAATATGCCTTGTTTATCACCCCATGCCAGTATTTAATTTATTATGTTGATTGTGTCCTTCAATTCATTTCTAAATTTCTAATCAGTTCCTGTTTCAGAGGCACCCAAATCCAACTTCAAATGGCTTCTACCTCTTCTTCTCCTTCACAATCAACCCAAAAGGTAACTTATGATGTTTTCTTGAGCTTTAGAAGCGAGGATATTAACAAGACTTTCCTGGATCACCTTCATGATCAGCTGCAACTAAAGGGAATATACACCTTCTTAGATGGCGATGTGCGGTTAGAGACAGGGAAGTGCATCTCTCCTAGTCTGCTAAGAACTATTCAAGAATCAAGATTTGCAATTGTCATCTTCTCAAAGAACTATGCATCATCAACGCGGTGTTTGGACAAAGTTGCAACGATCATGGAATGCAGAGAAAAACTCGACCAAATTGTGGTACCGGTTTTCTACGATGTGGATCGTTCACAAGTGCGGGAACAAACGGGGAGTTTTGGTGAATCATTTGCAGAACACGAAGTGAATTTTAAGGATGATAAAGGAAAGGTGGAAAGGTGGAGGAAAGCATTGACAGAGGCTAGCAATATTGCAGGACATGATTTGCAGAATATGCATAACAGGTTTGCTTTCAACTTCCTCTTCTCATTCATCTTTAATTTCTTTATGTACTTCATTTGCTTCTTTAGTTTGTGGCAAAAATTCATGGTCAATATGAAAGTGTAATACTAATACCGAATAAAGTAATACTTTTGAAAAAAATGATATACTTTTATACTTTGATTTAAAAGTATTATAATTTTACTTTATAAGTAACAAATACTTTATTTATGATTAGTATTACATTTTAAAGTATAAGTATTACATTTTCATTTTGATTCGACCCGTCTCCTGGATAAGGATTCATGAGACCACTATAAGAAAAATGCACATAGACAACATTAGAAAGACAACAGTTTTTAAGAAAAGTGTTGTCTTTTGTATAAAAGACAACAGTTTAGTCCAAAACTATTGTCTTTGATGCAACACTTTTGTCAAAGACAACGGTTTTTACTTAACCGTTGTTATAAGTGTGTTGTCTTTGTGTATTTTGTGAAAAGACAACACCACAACGACAACGGTTTTTTAAAACCGTTGTCTATGTGCGTTTTTTTTTAAATAAGACAACGGTTTTTTTAACTGTTGTCGTTGGTGTGTTGTCTTTAAGCGCAATGGAATACACAACACTAGATAGACAACGGTTGTAAACAACCGTTGTCTTTGTGTGCTCTTTTTTTAAAAAAAGACAACGGTTTTATTTAACCGTTGTCGTTGGTGTGTTGTCGTTAAGCGCACTCGAATACACAACACTATAACGACAACGGTTTTATATAACCGTTGTCGTTGCGTGTTCTTTATTTGTTTAAGACAACGGTTTTATTTAACCGTTGTCTTTGGTATGTTGTCTTTAAGCGTATTTAAATACACAACACTACAAAGACAACGATTTTAAAAATTCTGTTGTCTTTGCGCATTATTATTTAACAGGTATATAAAATAAAAACTAGGATGTTAACAACAAGAGTCGAACCTATGACCTCAAACTTAACAAGCAAGCAGTCTAACCAACTAAGCAACAACAACTCTTATTTCTAAAGGTGCAACATCTGGTATATAACTGGGTTCCTTCTGTTTTGTTTGTGAAAACCAAAACAACAATTTTAGAAAATAGTTGAAGAATTCCCCCCAAAAAGAATAAAACTTGAGACCTCTAACATAGTAAACTAAACTAAATCCACCAAGACACACCAACACTTGTGTACTTGAGTGCAACATCTAGTATATTACCAGTTTGTTTATGTGTTGTCTTTAAGAACCAAGACAATGATTGTATAAAATAGGTTAAGAATACCACCACGAAGGATAGAACCCAAGACCTTTAACATAACATAACAAACAAAACTAAATCCACCAAGCCACACCAACTCTTATGTATTAAAGTGTTACACCTTATCTTTTACCTATAATTTAACAAAGAAAGAATACAATTCAAAAGTTAATTTAATAGTTCTATTTTCGTTCATATTTAAATATATAAAATTATTCACCAAAATTTCAAAATAATTCATTATTAAAGTTTTATTTTTAATTATATTACAATTAAGACCAATCTAGGAATTAAAAAACAATAATAATTATCAAGTATAAAAAACAATAATGGTGCGGTATGATGTGTAGGGTTACGGGCGGTATGATAGGGGCCGAGGTTGGTAATCGACTCTTCTGGCTAGCGCATGACTAACAAGGTTAGCTATATGTTGGTAATCGACCCTTCCGGCTAGTGACTGTCAATGTTAGCTATATGTTGGTAATCGACCCTTCCGACTAGCGCATGACTAACATGGTTAGCTATGTTGGTAATCGACCCTTCCGGCTAGCGCATGACTAACAAGGTTAGCTATATGTTGGTAATCGACCCTTCCGGCATGCCTGGGACACATTGAGAATGAATATGAAAGAGTAGTTGATCGATGCTGTACAGTTAGCTATATCCCATTTCTTTTGCCGCGATCTTAATTAGCTTTATGTTCATAAATACCAAACTATATATTCATAATTTTTGAATTGAAATGCATATTTCCAATTGTTGATAACTATACAGTTTAGAAATTATCAATCAACAATACAGAAATTATGAATCTGCAGTATAGAAATTATGAATTTACTGTATAGAAATTATTAATCTATACAACTGTATTTAAATTAGAAATATACTATATAGAAATTATTATGAATCTAACTACATTATAGAAATCTATGAATCTCGTGTTTTGTACCTATATACCCGGAACTATTTTAATTAACCGGATGTAGCGACCCAAGTAATTAATTAAACTAAAATTTTGTTACAAAATTTCCCTCTAAGCTAAGATAAAATTTCCCTCTAAGACAAAATTTCCCTCTAAAACAAAATTGGGAATGAAATTTTTGTCTTTCCCTCTAAGACAAAAATTCGCACAACAACTCCGCCGACCGCCACTCTCCGATCAGACAACAACTCGCACAGACAAAATTTCCCTCTCATATCAGACAACAACTCGTTCAGATACAACTCCATCAAACTCCGCCGACCGCCACTCTCCGCAGTCGCCGTCGCTGAGCCTGGGTGGAAGTCGACAATAGAGAAGCTCTCCACAGTCGCCGTCGCTGAGCCTGGGTGGAAGTCGACAACAGAGAAGCTCTCCGCAGTCGCCGTCGCTGAGTCCACGTCGCCGTCGACAACACAGAAGCCCTCCGCGGTCAGCTGCGCCGCCGTCTCCCGTCAGCGTCGCTCTCAACCTACACCTCTTCCCTCCTCTACCGCCATCTCCTCCTCCCTACTCTTCCACCGTTGGATTCCCCATCACAAACCTACAGGTTAGTCCTAAACCCTAGATTAATTGTTGGATTATTAGGTTGTGAATTTTCTTACTCCCTAAATTAATTGTATTACCTTGAGCTTTGCGTGAGGTAGAAATATTAAAATGTCTTCTTTGAAAGTTTGAATTTGCAGTTTTGAGCTTTCTTTAGTTAAAAGCTTTTAATACAGTGTGTGTGTCTATATTATATATGAATCAGTGGATGGTTCTGTTTGGGTTTCTTTACCTGAAGAAACCTTGAAATATGTGGACTACTCCTGGAAATTTTATAGTGTTGAATTGCTTGAATAGGCTGTAGTTGTTTGGGGTGTTTTATCCATATGAAGGGAGTCAAAGGACACTGATGATGTGAACTTTGTCCTGAGTTTCCCTGTTGTTTCTTATGATACTATGTTGGAGGTCTGTCTATGTCTCTGTGATACACAGTTGTGCATATTTTTCATGTCATCTATCTTCAGAGTGTATCATCCACCATGAATATAAGATTTCAGCTCATCAAGGTTGATGTTCCAAGTTCTGATTCCCCCTGGCTTGGCATTTAGATACTACATGTTTTCTTTTTACCAAAAATCCTTGTCGGTATACAAGTCTATATTGCTAGTATTATGTTGTGTTTGAGTTGTTTACATATCCCAGATTGATAATCAAATTATTGCTTCCTTGTCTCTTCTGTTTTGTACTGACAATAGTTTTTGCAGTAATTTTTCCAACTCCCTCACAACCGAACTTGGCTATGGAGTATTAGATATTATGCAATTTTTAAACCAAAATCCTTGTCTTCTTTATACAACTCTGTATTACCAGGTGTATACAAGTATATATTACTAGGTGTGTTTTGTGTTTCAGTTGTTTGCATATCCTTGATTGATTATCAACTCCTTGCTTGCTTTTTCTATTGGCTATTGCATAATAATTTTTGCAATTACTCATTAACTCTTCACTAGAAACTCTGAGGATCCGTGCTTGATACAGTGACAGTGATGTTGCAATCTTTTGCTTGTTCTTGATCGTTGAATTTTCTTATTCCCTAAATTTTCTACAACACATGGCTTCATAGCCTTGCTGTCCTAGTTATGCTTCCTCAACTGGTTACTTTGTAATCTGCTATGCTCTTTTTAGTCAAACAAACATGTATATTTTGATAATGTGTAAACAAATGAATTAACTCCATGGTTTCTTTAGCAAATTTCCGTGCTGCTGCCCTCTCCATAGCAGCCTTCTGTTTTGCTGCTTCCCTCTCTTTGCGAAGCTCTTCTTTCTGTCTTTTCCTCTCAGCCTGGACTCAATATACAAGAAATATGGTAGCTATCAGCCACTGAATATAGCAGAAGTTTAAGGAGAGAAACTAAAATAAAACCGCCCTCAAACATACCCTCAAAAGCTCTCTCTGCAAAAATTTCTCTCGTGTTTCCATTTCACGCTTTTCCTCACGTTGAAACCTCTCTTCCTTCCTCTGTTGTTCACGCATTAGCCTTTGTTCTTCTTTCCTTCTCTCACGATCCAGTCTTTCCATTTCCTTTTTCACTTGTTCTTCCCTCTTAAGTGAGAAAAGAAAATTGTTTCAGATTTCAAAAGTAAAATTGCAGAAAGTAGTTGCAAAAAAATAATAATAATAATAATAAATAATAAAATAATAATAATAAAATCCAAAGGTTTGAAGGAACATAAAAATATACCTTTCTCCTTAAAAGATCCTGTTTCTCAAGTTCTTTTCGAATCCTTTTTTCATGAGCTAGTGCTTCCTTTCCTATTCTAGCTTCATCGTGTGTATATATACACTTTAAGTCTTTGAGAATGAGAGACAACTTTGTTCTTCATATCATCTGTTTAATGATTTTTACTATAACAAATAAATTTAAACTACAAAATAAAGAACCTTGTAATTTAAACTCTGCACCAAACTGTGATATTTGATTTTTTTCGCATTGTATTCGAGTTGTTTATTTGTCAAAGTGCAAAGTGCTGCATAAGAAACTTGTCATTGAGCTGCAAGTTGCAACTTTAGACCCTTTGGAACTTTGGAATACATTTAATTTCATTTGCATGGACCTAAAAAAAGAATTCACTAGAAAAAAATGACTTCACCTACAAGAAAAATACTATATAGACAATTGTGTCTGCTTTGCAAGTAATTACAATAGATCTTATTAAGTCATCACACATCATGAGCATCAGAAAATGATCCTGTGGGGTTTTCTTCTTCCCCTTCAATTTCTACCACCTAATTATTTTGGCCAATACCTGTTCAGAAGTGTCAAACAAGGAAAAACAGAAACAAAAAGCAAAAAGCAAAAAGCAAAAAAACAAAACTAAGTGAAACTAACCCGGAGAATGTCAGCTACACCTTCAGGATAAAACTCCCTATGCCTGGCAGTTCCAGGAAGGGGATCACCTTCATCATTTTCCTCAACCTTTTCAGATTCTGTGCCACTTCCCTTATCTGGCAAGAGCATATCAGTAAATGTTCCTATCTCATGGAGCTTCTTGCAAGCATCCAAACAAACCGCCTATACAGAACATAGTAAGTATTTAATGAATAATCTCAACTAATGTAGATAACACTTAACTAAGTTGAGGGCAGTAATAAGAAAACCTGTTGTTTATCAACTATCAGTGGGTAACTGGGAGCAGTAGAAGTGGATAAGTATCATCTACAAAGACACATCAAGAAGAAACTTTTCCTTAAGGGAAACCTACAATAGTATATCTGCAGGTTCAAAGTACACAAAATAGTATAGTCCAAGTATTTTACTGCAATATAGTTCTCTTTGTTGGTTTGATTTTGCACTTCAATGTAGTATCGTTCAAGAAGTCTTAATTTTATCTTAATGTATGGTGCTATGGCAGAAATATAATGTGAAGCTTTTATTTAATCATGTTTGTCTTATAAACTAAAGTGTGCTTAATCTTTGTGGTTTGGTGTTAAGTGTCAAAATCCGGCCGGCTTATAAACACTCAATTACAAAGATTTGATCTTTTTCATGGAAATATGGCAGAATATAGAAACAAGTCAACCAACTTTGGTATAGAGCCTATTTGACTTGATAGTATTTGCATACAGTTAAAGAGCAAATTAGGATTCTCATCAATCCAGATTGTCAAGTTCTTGGTTGCAGTGGCATTATATAGAGGATGTGTTTTGTTTTGCTTGGGCCTTGAGGAAGAGATTTGTATTGCCAATGCATTGATTTTACTCTACATGAATAGACTCTAGTATGCCATTTTAGTTTCCTGTCTAGCAAGTTGCCATTTTAGTGTTTCCTATCTAGCTTTTCTGTACTATAACCTTCCAGATTGGAGAGCTTTCCGAATTACTCCTAACTTATTTTGCATTTCATTGCAAATTATTTATATCTATACTAATTTATTTTCTTACTTTTTACATGTAGTTTCAACAAGTTGATTATGACAGAGCGGTTATTGATATGGTGCGTTCTGAATGGGCCGATATTCTATCAAGTCATATAGAGTAGGTATGATTTGGTCATTAGAACGTTGTGATTATTTGGACTTGAATTGGTTCGGGGAATTATTTTTTGTGTAGTAGTATTATGACTTGGATGATAATTAGAATTGGTCATGGAAGTCTTTTGACTTGTTATTTTGAACCTTATTAGCTTGTGCACAATTATGTAACTACACTTTGAAACATATGGTGAATGGATAAATTGTTTTTTTTTATATGATTATAATTTAAGCAGTTGAAAAACGGTTAAAAACCGTTGTCTATTTTACAATAGACAACAGTTAGAAACCGTTGACTTTTCTACAAAAGACAACAGTTTATGGGTGTGACAAAAGCGATTTCAACAACACACAATAGACAACAATTTATAACTGTTGTCTTTTAAAGAAAAGACAACAGTTAAAAACCGTTGTCTATGTATGTGACTTTTAACAACACTGGTTTCAACAACGCTTAAAAGACAACGGTTAAAAAACCGTTGTCGTTGGTAGAAAAGACAACAGTTAATAACCGTTGTCTATGTGCGTGACTTTTAACAACACCGATTTCAACAACACTTAATAGACAACGGTTAAAAAACCGTTGTTGTTGGTAAAAAAGACAACGGTTTATAACCGTTGTCTATGTGCGTGACTTTTAACAACACCGGTTTCAACAACACTTAATAGACAACGGTTAAAAAACCGTTGTCGTTGGTAGAAAAGACAACGGTTAATAACTGTTGTCTATGTGCGTGACTTTTAACAACACCGGCTTCAACAACACTTAATAGACAACGGTTAAAAAACCGTTGTTGTTTATAGAAAAGACAACGGTTAATAACCGTTGTCTATGTGCGTGACTTTTAACAATACCGGTTTCAACAACACTTAATAGACAACGGTTAAAAAACCATTGTCGTTTCTAGAAAAGACAACGGTTATTAACCGTTGTCTATGTGCGTGACTTACAACAACACCGGCTTCAACAACACTGAATAGACAACGGTTAAAAAACCGTTGTTGTTTCTAGAAAAGACAACGGTTAAAAAACCGTTGTCTATGCGCGGGACTTACAACAACACTGGCTTCAACAACAGAAATTATACCCCTACGACAACGGTTAATAACCGTTGTCTATGTGCATTTTTCTTGTAGTGGACGGTCTCACAAGAGAGTCACTCTTATTAGTTTATTACTACCAAAGTTAGAAGGCAAACTTGTGTGAGACCGTGAGACGGGTCCGGTTGTAGACAATTGTTGGGTGTGTAAGTATCACAATTTCAGTTATAAGTTTTTATTAGTATTATGATTTCTATCATAAGAAACAAACAATTATCTTAGATTCCACCCGTGTCACGGATTAAGATTTGTAAAACGGTTTCACGCAAGTGTGACTTAAGCTAAAATACACTTTCATGGATATTCACTAAGTAGAACAAGACATATTACTTGCACCCATACTAAAACTTTATTTATGATGTTTGAATATTTCATATTAATGCATGCCTTATGGCTTTGTGAACGGGATAATCTATCCCAAAATCTAAGTATTATTTCTTGAATGCTATTAAATTGGATTACTAAATTACTAAAACCTATTCATGTCCTATAGTCTCAGGAGCGAAGCAAACTGTATCCAAAGAGTTATTGATGACATACTTACTCAATTGTATCAAGCCTCCCCTATCCTTCAAGCAAATCTGGTGGGGTTGGAATCTAGAGTTGAAGAAATCGGTGCCATGTTGAGTCTCGAATCCTATGATGTTCGGTTCATTGGCATTTGGGGTAGAGGAGGGATTGGTAAGACAACAGTTGCAAGGGCGGTTTTTGCCAAATTTTCGAGGCTATTTGATGGAGCTTGTTTTGTTGATGATATTAAAGAAAGGCAAAGTAAAGTTGGAATGGAAGCATTGCAATCAATCCTTATATCAAAAACCCTGAAGGAAAGATCAATGGATATAAGCAATGTGGATGAAGGCATGGAGATGATAAAGAAGAGACTTGGATGGAAAAAAGTTTTGATTGTTCTTGATGATGTAGACCACCTAGAAGAATTAAGGAAGTTAGCCGGAGATCGCGTTTGGTTTGGTAGGGGAAGTAGAGTCATCATAACCACGAGAGATTCGGGATTATTGCAATCCCATGGAGTTGATGAAAAGTATGAAGTGCATAAATTGGTAGGGGAGGAAGCTATTCAACTATTCAGTTGGCATGCCTTTAACAAGGAAATTCCTGCAAAAAGTTTCGAAGAACTCTCTCGATTAGTTGTGAGTTACGCTTCTGGTTTTCCATTAGCTCTTAAAGTTTTGGGTTCTTTCCTGTATGGACTCGAGCCTGTTGAATGGAGAAGCACCCTGAAAAAACTCGAGGACATCCCTGACGACGATGTTGTTGCAAAGCTTAAGATAAGTTTTGATGGACTAAGTTGCAGGGACAAAAAATTATTTTTAGATATTGCATGTTTTTACAGAAAAAAGGAGGAGAGTTATGTAATAGATGTGTTCAAAAGCTGTAACTTGCAACCAGTCACCGGTATACGCAAGCTCATAGAAAGATCTCTTCTATTAGTCCTAAATGGAAAACTTGAGATGCATGATCTAATTCAAGATATGGGTTGGCATATTGCCAGTCAGGAGAGTCCTAGGAGCAGGGTATGGTTGGTTGAGGATGTTGATGCTGTGTTAAGTGGAAACATGGTAAGGCATATATATATATATCTCTATGTATGTTGAGCATATATATATATATATATATATATATATATATATATAGTTAATATCATATGAGAACACCTACTTAGGTGAGAATGTGAGAACAAATTGTGTGCATCTATCTAATATTTTTTAATGGTCTAGATTAGATTAAGTGTGTGCGAACGCGTATTAAATGTGTGCAAACGCGATTAAGTGTGTTTGCACACATTTAATGCGTGTTCGCACACACTTAATCTAATCTATACCATTAGAAAATAGGGATAAGGGTCAAATAGACCCTCTAACTATATAGCAAAGGGCAATTAGACCCTTAAACTAATCGCGTTTGCACACATTTAATTTAAATGGATGCACATGTGCACATGATGTGTTCTAGTGTTCTCACCTAAGCACATGTTCTCATTGGAACCCTACCCCATATATATATATATATATATATATATATATATATATATATATATATATATATATATATATATATATATATATATATATATATATATATATATATATATATATAGAGAGAGAGAGAGAGAGAGAGAGAGTGTGATGATCCTATGAGAGCCACCTCCCCCATGAGTATATGAGAACGAATATGGTGCATTAAAAATGAGATTTTTGGATGATATTAATTGAGAAATTCAACATTTGCGTGTGCATATATTTATGGATGATATTAATTGAGAAATTCAATATTCGCGTATGCATATAAGTTTGTATTGTGTGCAAACGTAGAAGGGGTTCAAGTGTACCACAACCGGATAGGAAATGATCAAGAACTCCTTCCAACCTTGTACTTTCCCCCTTTCTTATGCATACAACACATGCCTCAGATGCACACACGAATGTTGAATTCCACAAATTAATTTCATCAATAGATTTGTTTTTTTTTTTTTTAATGAACTATATTGAGTTTTCATGTACTCATGGGAAGGGGAGGGTGGTTCTCATGATCACTAATATATATATATATATACTCCCTTCGTCTTATTTTATGTGTCTGGTCGGTTAACGAGGCTTGATTGAAGTTATTTGTAATATAATTTTCATAATATTAAGTTTAATATTGGTATACAAAATCTATATATTTAGAAATTATACTAAAAGTACTATTAAACACAAAAAATTAAATTTAAAAATAGTAAAAAATACTAAAGAAAATAAACAAAGAAGAAAGAGTTAGTTTGACCAATAAATAGTGAGTAAGACAGATAAAATTGGACAGAGGGAGTAATATATATATATATATATATATATATATATATATATATATATATATATATATATATATATATATATATATATATATATATATGTCTCGTTCACGTGTGAATCAGTTTTTCCATGCGAACTGAAGAAATGTACACTAGATACTACATGAATGCATAATTACTTCACAGCTCCGTGACTACTACATGAATGTAGCAAAATTACTACGCACCGCATACATCGGCACTTATCCTCTAGGCATGTTTGTAGTTGTTATGCATTGATGTAGTACTTATGGTGCATTTCTTCAGGTAGGTTCTATGCAGTCTCACTATCGAGTTAAACTTTTAGCTAAAATATGGTTATGCATAGTGTGGTTTCATATTTCAGGAAGCAGATGGGCTTGAAGGTTTATTAATCCCTCCCAAATATCGACATAGCTGCAATGGGAATATTAGGTCCAGTGTTGAAGCTTTAAAGAGGATGAAACAGTTGAAAATACTCATAGTTGAAAGCTATAATTTCGATTCGTTTAGAAGGATGAGCAGATTAAAGTTACTTGAAAGTTTTGGCTCCACCATCATTGGGAATTATCTTCCTAACAGTAGTCTGCAGTGGCTTGATTTCTCATATTATCATTTGCATTCTTTACCACAAAGTTTTCAACCACTGAAGCTTGCTGCGCTGCTTTTGCCTCATAGTTCTATCCAACATTGCAGGATAACCAAGGTATGTGTTAGATCAAACGCTTACCACTCACGCCAAAAGCTATAGCTAGTAGCAAATGTATAACTTTATTTTTTTTATAGACTGTCACCACATTTTCGAGAGGCAGGGTGTTGGCCTTGACCTTTCACAGGTTTCTAGCCACATGATGTTGGACTTGGCTCTTACTGGTCACCATCTAACAATCATCCTCCTAGCACCAGCCAGTCGTAACCGTGACCGACTCTGATACCACTTGTTAGATCAAACACTTATTATCACTTACGCCAAAAGCTATAGCTAGTAGCGAAGGCGCACCTTTATTTTCTTATAAACCGCCATCACATTTTCGAAAGGCAGGGTGCTGGACTTGGCCCTTCACTAGCTTCCGTCCAGCAATCCCCTAGCCAGATGGTGCTAGGGTGCTGGACTTGGCCCTTCACTGACTTCTGTCCAGCAATTCCCTAGTCAGATAGTGCTGGACTCTTACTAGCCTCCGCCCAACATGTATGTTTCGTTCTATGTATTTTAACCGAAACGAGATAAACTTTCTCATCCAAAGTGGTTTTATTGTTGACAGAGCTTTTACAAGCTGAGGCATTTGGACCTCAGATGCTCCCAGTTTTTGTTGGAAACTCCCAATTTTGAATGGCTGCCAAATTTGGAGAGGCTAAACCTTTCAGACTGTGTGAGTTTAAAAGAGGTCCATCCATCCATTGGACATCTTGAGAAGCTTGTTTCATTGGATTTGGGGAGATGCAGCAACATTAACAACCTTCCCACCTTCATCCAAATGCAATCACTTCAACTTCTAGATCTTGAATCTTGTCAAAAACTGGAAACATTTCCTGAAATCCACTGCAATATGCCACATCTACACGTCCTCGAGCTCCAATCCGTTGGGATTAGAACGCTACCCTCCTCGATCCAAAATCTCATTAGCCTCACCAAGATACACATTGCTAGATGTCAAAATCTCGAATGCCTTCCAAGTGGCTTGTGTAGGCTGAAAAATCTAAAAGTTCTTGAACTCGAAAGATGCCCGAAACTGCAGTCCTTGCCAGAAAACATGGGCGATTTGCAGGTTTTGGAGAAACTTCATGTCAAGGATAATGCAATGATCCAACACCTCCCATCCTCAATCTCACTTTTGACTGAACTTGAATACTTATACTTTGGACACTCAGACAATCTGGATTTGTTCCCTACATCCCACAACTTTGTTTTGCCCAGTGTTTCGAGTTTATGTTCATTGAAAAGGCTAGACCTCAGCTTCCTCTATATGGTTGATGAAGGACTCCCTCAAGATCTTGGATGCTTAACCTCTTTGGAATGCTTAAATCTAAGGGGAAACCAATTCATCCGTTTGCCCGAGAGCATTAGTCAGCTCCCTCGCCTTCAATACCTCGACATTAAATATTGCACAAAGCTTGAAGAACTACCCGAGCTTCCGGGAACTATAAAGGAACTCTCTGTGGATACTCATTTGGCCTCCAAAATCAACACAGCAGAGCTAGCAGCCAAGTACACCGGCTTATATTCTGTTTCATTCACAGATGCCAATTTCTTTTTGTACTTCGGGGGCTTACAAACCCCTAAGCTCCCGGATGGGTTTATTCCTTTTTCTTGGCAACTTATACCCAGAAAGGATGCTTTTAGTGTTGTGTACCTTACTACCATGGAGAGTGGTTACCATATCTCATCTAAGTGGTTCGATTACGAGGAGAAAGACTCTGATACTATTTGTGTCAAGTTGAATCCCACTTGGTATAACAGCAACTTTCTGGGATTTGCTATTTATTGCATTGTTCCTTCGAAATGTGGCGTGTGGGAATCGCGTGAAGGCGATCTGTTCGAGCATTGTGCCATCACAGCCAAGTTGGTACGCAAAGAGGATGGTGAAAAACATGCTTTGCATACAAAATGTGTGATTGGTAAATCAGTTGAGAATGGTGGGGATGGTGAGCGTGCCCGGATGTGCTTTGCGTACATTCCGTTCTGTTCTTTGTGGCATCAATCTAAGACAATGCAGGGCCTTGGGCCAAATGATTATTCTGTATTTGAGGCAAGCTTGGATTCCAGAATGGCTACAGCTTGGCGATTTCGTTTGCTATATAAAGATGACGAATTGCTTAACGAGGAACATGTAAATCACGATATATAACTTAGTGGTTCAGCAGACAGAGTCAGATGTTAGTGTTAACAAGAGATCTCGTTGTCGAGTTTCAAACATTGGTCTCTTTCTTTAAATACTACTGATTGAATTAGTAAGCTCATGCGGACGTGAACATTCCAATTCTTCAGTGGATAATAAGACGCTTGAAGACTTGAAGTGGCCAGTTGATCAGTTTTATTGGCAATGCTACTTATATTTCTTTTTAAATACTCTTTAAAAGTGATTTGCGTGTGAATCCCAGTGTCATCATTTTTCTTTAATAATGTGCAAAGGGGTATGGAGTGTTATTGACTTAATTGTACATAAGTTTATTGAATACAAATATACAATATACAATGAACCTAATTCACATGGTTGAGTGTGTTTATATTTTATTAGAAAAAGTGTCAAATTGGATGGATAATGCAATTGAGTCCCCTAAACAAGGACGGAGCTAAAGAGGGGGCCAGGGGGGCAGCTGTCCCCTCGCCCCACTTTCACCCTATATATAATCTTTGTATGTATATATGTATATATAGTACATGATTTAGTATTAGTATAAAAAATTATTGATGTTAATAAGAAATGAACTAAATTAGTTGCCAAAACATATGTTTGGCAATTATAAAGGTTAAGGGTTCAAATCTTTGGCATTAACATAATTTTACAGTTTCACACACACACACAATAATGAAATGTGTAATTTATAATGTGTTTTCTATTCAAATTATTTTATCAAATTAAATTTATAATGTGTTTTCTATTCAAAGTATTTTATCAAATTAATTATGTTTCATATTATTTATTTTTCGCCCATATCCAACAATATTTACACCTATATTTCTGAGGTAATTTATTATTATTTTTTAAATTATCTGTTTTGTTTTAATTTTTCGTTTTTACTAGAAAAATTTTCTGAATCCGTCACTACTTCTTCGCCTCCCCCTCAATCGAATTTCTGACTCCATCCCTGCCCCTAAGTAAAAAAAGTTCCATTTAAAAAAATCTCCTAAACTTGAAAAAAAAGTTTAATTAGGTCCAAAATTACCTATTTAGCATATTAGTGTCTTCTAATACTGACATGTGTCTCTTTTTTATTATTTTTTTGTTTATATTATTATTATTATTATTGAGAAAATTTCAATTTTGGTCACATGACTATAGGGGCTTTGTTAATTTCAACACCTAACTTTCAAAAGTGTCAATTTAGTACCTTGAGTATTTAATTTTTGTCAATTTTAGTCACTCCGGTCAAATTGCCGACCAAATTTGGCCGGAAAAATTTAATCCGGCATTTAGTCTATAATCTGAGGGGCAAAATGGTCTTTTGAAACACTCTCCTAATTGTTGTTGACCCGGTTCCGTCATGCCGCTCTTCTTCTTCTCCGCTCTCCGTCGGTTCTACTCAAATTCCACTCCTTCCTCTTCAAAGAACGGTAAGCATTTCTACTTTTCTTCACTCCATTTTCTTTTACTGCCATGTGCCACTTGTTTAATGAAGATTAGATAGTTGAATCTTTCGTATTATGATTGCTAAATTCGGTGTTGACAAATTTTTGTTATATTTTGGTTGGCAGCCAATCAGAAATCAGTGAAATGCAGCTTGGATAAGGAAGGTAGTTCTTCGGATTTATCAGATCAGACCACAAATAGGCTTGTCTTCTTTCTTAGGAATCTATTCAGTTACTCATATTCAATACTCTCAAATTCTAGTTTTCAGTAACTTCAATGTGAGCTGCTAAGAGTTTAGATTTTTATTTCATTCTTCAAGACTGAAATAGGTTTTTCTGTGAACCGGGTCAACAACAATAATTAGGAGAAAGGATCAAAAGACCATTTTGCCCCGACTAAATGTTGGATTAAATTTTTCCGGTCAAATTTGACCGACAAATTGGCCGGAGTGATCAAAATTGACAAAAATTAAGTACTCAAGGTACTAAACTGACAGTTTTGAAAGTTAGGTGTTGAAATTAACAAAGCCCCTATAGTCATGTGACCAAAATTGAAAATTTCTCTATTATTATTATATATTTTTTAAAACTCTTCATACAACCCCCCGCTGTAGATAGCCGATGGTTGTACTCATTCAAGGACAACCATAGTTGTCCGACGACAACTACGACTATAATAAAAAAAAATGGTGGTCATGGCTATCTGGTAACCACGATTGTCCTAAAAGACGGCCATGGCCGTCTGAGACAGCCATAACTTTCTTCATCCATAGCAAGCAAATTTACAAAATTGAAAAGAAGTACCAAGTCTTGAAAATTGTTATAGGTAGATATGAGAGTACCATATTATAAGAATTTCTTGCTCAACATAGGCAAATACTCCGTAATAGATAAAGAAGTGCATAAAATATATTATCTTATTTTAAAATACTCATTATACAAACACGTACGCGAATAAATAATTTTTTTTAAACATCAAAACAACCTAGTTTTGACCATAATCCGCACAATAATTTGTCAACCTAGAGGCAGTGATGTCAGAGTGATGCCGCTAACTATATTTTCTCCTGACAATTTTGTACTTTAAACAAGTTCGTCGGCGCATCGAATCTCAAATCCCTGGATCTGTAAACATGGCTGCAATGGAGGACGAGAGAATGGAAAATCCAGCGAGCCTAAGCATATACAAAGCCACTCGAACCATAAAGCGAAAGCACAACAGCCTCTACAACGCCCTGCGCTCAATCTACGAGGACTCTATCTTCGTCGGAGAAATATCGGAGCTATGGCCGGAGCTCCCGCTTCTGGCGAACCTCCGGTGCGGCCTCTGGTACTCCCCAAAGTTTCATTCCACATGCTATTTCAAATCCACCGACGGCCACACCAATAACTGGTCGTTTAACACCTCTCGCCTCAACCTCCACGTTGCCCTACTTGCCGGTACGCTTCCTCCCATTTATTAGAACATTTAATGGATGGACGAGTCATATACTTTTACACTGATTTTTTTTTTTTTTATGTCTAGGACAGAGGGGAGGTTGTATGATTGTTGATTCAACTAGAAAGGGGAAAAGATTTCCAGACAGCATGTCGAAAACTATACCAATTTGGACTTGTGTATTGAATCGTGCCATTGCCAACTACAGGAGGAAATTGATTGGTGTTGATACTCCAAAAGACCAAGTGAGGGCAACTTTTCTATTTCTGCAGCCTCATTCTTTATAGATTGTTTCTTCCATTTTATGTATCAGCTATTTATGATGTAGAGTGCAGCAAGTAGAGTTAATTAATTAGCGCTCTCTTTTTCGTTTCATAATAATGATTTCTGTCAGATTGAATTACAATTTGGATTGCTTTCTGGAGCTCTGGAGTGTGGTGGTTGTTTTTCAGTGTTTTTGAAGCTCGGGCTAGGAATCCTAGGATTTGCTTTACCTTGTTTTAGATTAACATCTCATCTATATCAGCGTGCTCTCTGCAATTATTTAGAAATGATGGTACCGAAGAAGAATTGGAGACTTGATAGAAAAAAATATAATTTTTAGGTAAATAAATAAAAAGTTGAATAGTTTAAAAATTTTAGTCACAAGAAAATGATCATAATCAGGACAGAAGCTGGCTATCTAATCATTTTAGCTGCAAGAATTAGCTGAATTTACTGTAGTCTCTCTCAATTGCTTTCTTTTGGGTACAATCAGGACATATTGGAAAGGGGAAACTAATTAACTTGAGCTGAGCAGTTTTGAGCAAAAACTGTTTGGATAGAGCTTTATTTTGTTGCATTTGTAAGATAAATTGCCATTTAGAATCTATGAAGAAAAGCTAGACAGCAATTAGAGCTTAATGACTCCACTGGCTTACTGTATATGTTAATGTACAATATTCTCATTTTATGTGCTGAGCCCTTTTGGCTGGTAATTGAATTTTTAGGTGATAAGTGAATAGCTATATGGTCTATTATTTTGTTTACATCTTTTAACTTCCTTTGAAATTGGATGTCTTGGCGAATTGAAATGTTGATATTTTTCGACATGTGTTTGAAATATTTATTTTCAAGAACCTGTCCATTCTATAACTCTATGGTAGTGTGGGGGAAATGGAAAAAATAAATTTTGTTAATTCTTCTGTGAAATCATTGTGACAGGAGTCCAACATAAACGACCACGTGTCCAGTAACCATACTGAAGATGTTAAAGAGGATGCTTCATGTTGGGATTGTTCATTGCATCTTCCTATCTGGGTCTCAGATACAGAAAAAACACTTATTGAGGAACGATTGGACGGATGGACTAAGGATCTTGAGACTAGCGGAGCTGATATTGCATCAATTGCATTTTCCATAAAGAAGCCATTACGACCTTTATGGATTTCACAGAAAACTGTTATTTGGTTAAATGAAGTACCTGAATCTAGTTCTTGGGACTTTACACCGATCATACTTGTTTCTGCATCCTTCTCAACAAGTGTTTTCCAACCGCGAACTACTTCAGAGTTTAGTTGGAATTATATTGCTGGAGCTGGAGATGATGAAGAAAGTTGGGCAAGAGGACTAACGCCAACCCTTTTTTGGAAACATGTTTATGATCTCATAAACTCGGGGCCAAATTTATGCAATCAGAAGGTTGCTGATATTGTTGAAAAGAATAGAGTATACTGTGCACAAAGGGGAGAAGATGCTCCTCAGATTTCATTGAAATCTTCAAAAACTTTTGGTATCAGCAATCAATATGCTGTGCAAGAACCATTGAATGTAGAAAATCTGTGCATAGATGGAGATGAAAAGTCCAAAGGAGATGATTATTCCCTATCGTGGTTCGGTGATACGAATGTAGCTGTTGGCAAAATCCTACTTGGTAATATATTGTCTCATTTTTATGCTATTGGTTGGTATTATTCATAAATAATTCAAACATAGCTTTATTTGTGTATGGTGAGTGATGTGTTTTCCTCAAATAAATGTGACGGAAATGGCTTTTCAGTTTTTCTAACACCTAGAACCTATGCATGTCAGTCCAAATGCTTAGAAGTTAGAAAATTTATCTTGTTACAAATGAGTTCCTGTTTCTCTATGTATTTGTCGCATAGAACTGCTGTTTGGCCTAGTCTTTGTGAAAGTAGGGTGTGATACTGTGGCCAATTATTATGAGAATGATAATGCTTAATCTGTATTTGTTTAAATTTATAGAGGTTTATCCATTTGGTGGTAGCCTAACATTAATGTATGTAGCTGGTATTTATGGAAATCTGGTTTTCTGATGAGTGGAACTTCTTACTATTCGTATGCATGATTTCTTCTGAGTGTTTCTTTTTGTGCAAAATTGCTTTGGTATTTCTTATTGTCTCATCAATTATAAAATTTTCACTTAAAACTACATATCCCTTTCTGTAAATGTGCTTGAATGCCAGTACTGCAAGTATGTGAACTTTTTACCAAATCATGCATGTTTGAATAGGGTTTAGATTTTAGAACCACGTTCATTACTGATAGCCAATCTTTCACTTTAATGGGATTCTACCATGCAGCTAAGGATGCCTCTTCTATTGACAGCATACTAAACTGTGGCCCAGAAGAAATTCCCCACTTGATGGATGATACTGCTTATTTACACCTTCCAATTGTGGTATGTCACAAGAATTATAGAGTATCATTATAATATTGGCATATTGCTCAGTTACTTGTATAAATTGGCAATTCCTTGTCCTTGTCCTCACTCCTCATTATTAGCTTTCCCCTCTCTTTATGGGAAACAGGGCTGTAAATTTGACCGGTTTTCTTTGTCAAGAAGTCTTCCTTCAGCAATCAATTTTGCCAATATTAACTTAAGAAAAGGGAAGAGACTTCTTGTTTGCTGCACAAATGGTAAGCATGGTTTTATTCCTCATTGACTATATTATTTTAACTTATCCGTCCAGGTCAATCATGACGAACTAATCTTCACCGTCCTATAAATACCTTATGATATGTGGCTAGCTGCATAAAACAGTACAGAATTTTATGAGTGTGATTTTTTGTGCTTTTAGGGGAAGATATAAGCATATGTGTCTGTTTGGCAATCTTGTTGGCATTATTCGATGATAGAGGTATGCGTACTGCACTAGATTTTCGTGTCAATCATGACGGCCCGCTTCTGCTCCATCATTTGATTTCCAGTAGTCGGGATCTAATTTTCTTATGCTTAATGTAGGATGCTTTGACGAAGGAAGATCCTTTAACAAGAAAAACACAACCAAGTTAGAATTGCGACAGAGATTAGTCTTCATCTGCAAATACGCTGTGAATGCTCGCCCATCGAGAGGAAATCTGAAGCAAGTCTTCAATTATCTGAACAGCGGGAACACAGGTCCTGTTCTTGAAAAACCCTTATCTGTTTCGAATGCCTAACGAAATGGGGAGAAATGTAGCTCTGTGTCAAGCATCTAAGATCATGGAGCTTCTTTCTAAAATGTTATGAGAAAAAAAAATTGAATTTGCTAGCATCCTTATGAAAATGAAGTAAAATTTCTTATGTTGCAGCACAGGATAATTTCTTCGTTTTAATTACCGTATGCGTAGTAATAGCACAGAATGACAAACTATTACTTCATACATAGTAAACAATGCTCACTTTTGGAGATTATGGGGTGTTTGATAAATGATTGTTAGTTGTTAGTTGATTAGGTTAGTTGATAGTTAATAGCTCTTTGTGTTAGCTGATTAGGTTAGTTGATAGTTAATAGCTGTTTGTGTTAGCTGATAGTTATATATTGATAGTTATATATTGGTCCATTTAACATCAAATAGAGGAAAATTGCCACTTTTAAAATAATTGAGTGGCAAATGTGGATGCATAAATAACACAGGAAGAAAAAAATACTACAAACCTATAATACAGGGAAAAAATGTCATTTTCCTTTCATTGTATGGGTTTATTTTATTAAAATAATAACTGCTTAGATTTTCTTAACATAATTTATTATAACTAAGTATGGACATTTCCAAATAAGAAGATGCAAGTCATTAATAAATTATAGTAATGGTACATCGAATTGGTAGTTTTATTTTTACTTTTCTTTTTGTTGTAGATGTACCCAATAGAATAAAAAATAAAAAAATAAATAAAAAACAAAATGCATTATCTAATAATTATTATCAAGTTTTTTTTTTTTTTTTTTTTTTTTGTAAGTGTTAGTGACTCCCTACAATGCATATCTGTTCGTAACTACTTTCTCAACTTACTGAAGCACAAAAAGTGAAAAAGTCAATATCGCTTCCACTGAGGCTTGAACCCACGCACAAAAAGTGAAAAAGTCAATATCGCTTCCACTGAGGCTTGAACCCACAACCTCTCATATGGGAGTGCAACTTAGTGCCATTAGACCACTAGGTCTTGGCCAACAACACATTATGTGTACAAAACTCCAAGCCAACGACACACTGACTCGGTGGGTAGCCGGGTACTAACTTGGGGCAAATTTTATTGTGCATCATGGTCCAAAATGGTGTCACTTCTTTTAATAAAAAGAAACGGCAGCCGTTCAGTCCAACTAATTATTTTTTGTGGCGTATTCAACTTTATTTTATGCACACTATAATTTTATTACAACACAACTAAAGTATCATTTTGATTGAACTACAATTTCATCTGACATTGAATTTTAGTTTATATATAATATAGTTTTATTACAACACCACTAAAGTGTAATTTTAATTCAAAAATACATTCAAATATGTGAAACTTGTTATTCAGTTTCATTTTGTATACACTGTAGTTTCATTACAACATAATTAAAATATTATTTTGATATAATACAGTATCATTTGATAATATACACTCAATATGTGAGACCTGTTATTTAGTTTCATTTTATACATACTGTAGTTTCATTAAAACACAATTAAAGTATCATTTTAATTCAACTACAGTTTCATTTGACAATATACACTCAATATATGAGACCTGCTATTCAGTTTCATTTTACATACACAATAGTTTCATTATAACACCACTAAAGTATCATTTTTATATAATTACAGTTTCATTTGACAATATACACTCAATATGTAAGACATGTTATTCAGTTTCATTTTATACACATTGTAATTTCATTACAATACGACTAAAGTACAGAGTATTGTTTTCAAAAAAAAAAAAAAAGTACAGAGTATTATTTTATTTCAACTATAGTTTCATTTGACAATGTACACTCAATATATGAGACATGTTACTTAGTTTCATTTGACAATATACACTCAATATGTAAGACATGTTATTTAGTTTTATTTTAGATACACTGTAATTCCATTTTATTTTGAGCACATCATAAATACGATATTAGTAACAACTGTCCTTTCCGTTTCTTTTTACTTGAAAAACGAATAACATTTTTAGAACATGGTCTACACAATTTTGTGACCCGTAATAGGCCGACCGCCTTACCTAAACCAATCATCATATCGATCCCTAGGCCCATTACTGAAAAGGCTCGGCTTCAAAATCGTATGTGGAGCTTTCGATCCACCTCATATGGCTCCTCTAGCTATAGTTTAAGCCCAACCCAGGTTTGTGCGGTTAAAGTTGTTGTACAAAATCAATTTAATATCAATGACGGAACGAACAATGAAACTTTACGACAGCTTTTTCGGCAAGTCGTAGGATTCATTCGGAAAAAAGAAGTCCAAGGGCCGTATAACAATCATAACTTGCGACTTCAAGAAAATTTAAAGCCTATGTTGGATAGGAAATTTTTAAAATTATTTTGTGTTTGCAAACATTTTCCTTACAATTTTACAATAGCTTTATAAAATGTTTCAAAATCATTTTCATAAATTTAAAAAATTTTAAAAACACAATTTTTTTTTCAAAAAAAGCATAGTAAGTAATTAATATTTATACATATTCAAAACATAAATATTTATAAATATACATCTATATTTTTACATTTTATACTTTTTCAACGTGTTTATCTTTTGCATTCCCGGTTTCTATGCAATTAGGGACGGAGCCAGAAATTCGGGTGGGGGAGGGGGGGGGGGGGGAAAGAAGTAGGGACGGAGTCAGAAAATTTTTCCAACAAAGGCGAAACATTAAAACAAAAGAGATAATTTAAAAAAAATTAATTAATTAATTAATTTGATAAAATAATTTGAATAGAAAACACATTATAAATTACACATTATGTCATTATTAATATAAAAGAATATTATATATAATATGTGTGTGTATTAAATATTAAAAAACAATGAAAAACAATATGTTAATGTTAGGATTCAAACCCTTAGTTTTTATTTTATACTAATACTAAAACTTGTACTATATATACATATATACATACAAAAATTATATAGGGAGTGAGGGTGGGGTGAGGGGGGCAGCTGCCCCCTGCCCCTTTGGCTCTGTCCCTGCATGCAACCTAGTTCAGAACTTAAAATTGTGAAATAAATTTAATACTCGCATATGTTAAAATTGTGAAAATTTGCTCACGCATGTATTTTTCTATTTAATTTAGTGTTAGAATAAAAATTTTATATATTTAAAATTTAAATAAAAATACAGTTAAACATAAATAAATTTAAAATTATAAAAAAATATTAAATAAAAGAATTAGAAAAAGGAGGTGAATTCAGCTATAAATAAAGAGACATGCATGTAAAAAGAGAGTGATGGGTAAATAAATATATTAAAAGCAAAAAATAAAAAATGACAAAAAATTGCCTGCAAAATGACAAATTCACGAGACCATTAACTTGGTCGTCTCCGTTCTTAGCTCTCTGCAATATTCGATCATAACCACCGGCTCAACAAACGACATTTCTAGGTGGTTGATCGGAAAGTTTTTCCTTTTGCTTCAATCTCTTTTCCCAAATCCAATCAATACAATATATCTCTGTCTCATTAGAGGAATTCTTATTTTTATTTTTTTAAAAAAAAATCTCAGAGAATTTTGTACAGATTCATTGCTTTTGCATAGTTTGGAACATTCTGCAAAGGAAAAGCTTGAGCTTTGAGAAATGGCTTCCTCAGGGATGAGCGAAGAGCTTACAGAAATCGAGGGACAAATTTCGGATGTTTTTCGAGCTCTCGCGTAAATGTTTTTGATTTTTTAATATCTAACAATCTAACATGCATGCAATGTGATCATTGCTATTGATTTATTTTTTCAAAGAAGGCATATTTTGTTGTAATTAAGGCTATTCTTATTTCAAACAAGCTGGTATTAAAATAAATAAATATATTCTGAAAATTTTGCATGTTGTTCATCCTAATGCAGAAATGGGTTTCAGAAATTGGAGAAGATTAAGGATGCCAGTAGGCAGAGCAGACAGTTGGAGGATCTTACCGACAAGATGCGAGATTGTAAAAGGTATTTATTTCATTGCAAACATTATTTTGAAATGAAGGTAAATGTATCTAGCTTTCTGCTTTTCTTGATGGGGAACCGTTAACAGGATATGAAATGGGAAAGGAAATTAATGGGTTAGTGTTTATCTTTAATTTATCTCAGATTGTTAACAGGTTGACGCGTACATTATGTTTCGTGTATTAACAGATCAATTCGTTCAATCTATTAAGAACATGTTTAACCTATTTTTATTATTGTATTAATCCATTTATACACGAACTCATTTACACAAACATGTTTATAACCATTAAGAATCCATTGTTATGTAATATAAAATGAAATTATTTTTCTATTTAAAATAGCTAATGAATGGACAAGATTAAAGCAAATAAATAATATGAAACAATATATTAAAACATTCCATCTATTTTTTTATTAGAAGGGAAGGGGGACACCCAAACTACTACTCACCTCCATTAAGGCGAGAACCTATCACCTCCCACTTAGGAAAGCAACCGGATACCATTAGACCACAAGGTCCTTGGTACTATGATAAAATATTTGTTATTTGTATAAGTTTGCACAATTTACATAGTACTAAAATAAAATTACTTAATAGAAAATTAATTTATAATTTATCACATTATGTGTCTACCGTTAATATATTAGGCACATGTAGTTAATATATTATGTGTCTGCATGACTGCATGTAACAAATTTGTGTCTTCAATTTATTTACAGATACATAATATGTTAATTGAATGTTATGAACTGAATATTTTTTTAGTTTGTTTGATGGATTGAATTGCAGGTTTTATTTCTTTTTATATAATTTTAATTCAAAATTTAGTTATATTAATAGGTTTAGCGGGTTTAAATGGATTTCATGCACGATTCGAAACCTGTTAACAAAACGTGTCTATCGTGTCAACCTGTTTAACCCGTTTTGAAATTGTGTTCCTGTTAAGAACTTTAACCAATTAAGCTTAACGTGTCGTGTCCATGTTTAGTCTTATTGTGTTCGTATCGTTATCGTATCGACCCGCTAACAGATCCGTATACACGGATTTCCGGGTCTAAATTGCCAAGGCCTTGGTCCGATGCAAACGTAGCAGATGATGAAATAGCTTCTTGGTTTTGAGCTTTTTGGTGTTTGGATAGTTTGATTTATATTTGGTTGGAAGGAAGGAATTATGGAAACAATGAATTGTAATTTTGTGGAAAAAAAGTATAGCGTAAATGAAGTATGAATTCAAATTCTATTGTTTAATGGGCAGTGTTTGGCATAAACTATCTATCTAGTTGCAGCTGTAGAAGGCATAGATAATTGCTGGGGAAAAAAAAAAATTTGCTTCCTGTATATTAGTTATTCCTTATTCTATTTTATTATGGTCCTGTTTGGTAAATGGTTGTTAGTTGTTAGCTGATTGGGTTAATTAAAGGATATAACTAGTTGATAACATTAGTTGATTGTAGAAAGGTGTTTGAGCTATTAGCAATTTGATATAATTTCTTTTCTTAAAAAAATTAATTGAAAAAGTTGCTTTGATTAGCTTTTTGAATTTTAGCATTTTGGAGTATAAAAAACTAATTAACTAAACACTTATATTGATTTTTAAACAAAGTTAAACAACTAATAGTGGTCAAATAAGTCAAAATTGACCTATAGACTAACTATTTTATCAAACAGGGTCTATGTGTGGTGATGCACTGATAAACGCATTTTGACTTGCACGTACTAACCATATATGCTTTTTTCACTTGGCAGGCTTATTAAAGAGTTCGATACTGAAATAAAGGAGTTAAAGTTTCGAAATAATGCTGACACAAACAAGATGCTGAATGAGAAAAAGCAATCTATGGTGTGCGGTTGTTAATTTTAAAATGTTTATTTTGACTTAATTAGATGCCCCAAATTGCTTTCTCTTAGCTTGCACCTAAACTCATCCAATATAATGCAGATCAAAGAGTTGAACTCATATGTTGCTATGAAAAAGAAGTAAGTGCATGCTTTTATATATGCTTATTACAATATTCCTTTATTTATTTTCAAGTACCATATTGCATGTTGTTCTACGCTTCAAAAAACATGCATATTTATGTTGGAAAAATATGGGCCTTGGATGACTTACCCCGAATTCTACTTTGAGAGTGTTTGATAAATAGCTATTAGCTGATAGCGGTTAGCTGTTCAGGTTAGTGAGTTTGACTAGTTGATATCATTAACTGATTGTAGAATGTTTGGTAATGATATTTTTAAAAAGCTGATCGAAAAAGTTATTTTGAGCAGTTTTTTGAATTTTAGCATTTTCGAGCAATAAGTTGTTACAAAAAACTAATTAATCAAATTAAACATTCATATTGATTGTTTGGCCGGTAGTCAAATAAGTTAAAATTGACTGATAAGCTAACTATGTTACCAAATAGGATCATGAGGTTCATTATATTGATTTTATCAAAACATTTTGAGAGAAGATTGTGCTTAACATGCTCGATTCTCTACTTCTCTTAGAAAAACAAACATCAACAGGGAAATTGCACAAACTAAATACTCTTAATAAACAGGAATAATATGCGCAGAAATTGAAGTATATTTTCTAACTTTTTGCTCCTGTGTAATTGTTTATACTTGCTTTCCTTCTTCTTGGATGATTTTCCAGATATGCAACCAATCTTGAAAATAAGCGAGTAGATATGTTTGAAGACCCTTCAGAAACTTCTGCCGAAGACAATGTCTTGTTAGCTTCAAGTATGTGTATTCTCCAGTGTGATAGATTGTAGTTAGAATCTTAAAAACATAGGGAAACAGAAGTGCAAAGTACTTGTTAAGATCAAGCGCTTATCACTATGCCAAAAGCTATAGCTAGTAACGAAAGCCTAACTTTATTTCCTTATACCGCCACTACTGGAAATTATGAAATTTTCGACCACCTGAAAATGATCAAATCGAAAGCAAAAAGTGGTCGGAAATAGTAAAGGTTTTCCTGGATACCAAAAGTGGTCGGAACAACTTTCGACTTGATTTAAGATTACTTTCAAATGGTCGGAAATTTCATAATTTTCAGAAATGCACCATGCATTTTCGAGAGTCAGGGTACTGGACTTGACCCTTTAAACCTCCCTCAACAATCGTTTGAACTTATTAACCTTTATTTATTTTTTTGTAAAGATCTCTAATTGCAAGTTTTAATGTTTTATATTGCAGATATGACTAATCAACAGCTAATAGATCATGGGAATCGAATGATGGATGACACAGATCAGGCCATTGATAGGGCAAAAAAGGTGGTCATTCTAAGGACATGTTTGCCTGATACGAATCGATTTTTATCACTTCAAAGCATGATTTTTATATGCTACGTTTAATTTCACAGGTGGTCCAGGAGACTATTGATGTTGGAACAGAAACTGCAGCGACTCTCAAGGATCAGGTATTTCTTTTCTCATTTATGTTTATATATATATTATTATTATATACTCAACAGCCATACAATCTCTTTTTATCTGGTGATGTTGAAATTCGAACCATGACCCTTGACATGAAGTTGGTTATAATATCAAATTGAAGCATATGTTCCATCTTTACTAAAAATCTAAGTTTATAGTTTGATTGTTTATATGCTCAACAAATTCATCATTCTCTCCTTTCTCAATTCCTACCTTCTTTCCCAGACTGAACAAATGAGTAGGATTGTTAATGAGCTGGACTCAATCCACTTTTCTATGAAGAAGGCTAACAAGGTTGTGAGAGAACTTGGTAGACAGGTGGGTCGTGTTCAGATCCCTTGTGTTGTAAATTCATTATTGTTGGTTTCTCGTACTTAATTGAATTGTTTCCTTTAGATTGCGAGTGACAATTGTTTCAAGGCAATGCTCTTCATTATTGTGGTCGGCATCATCTCTATCGTCGTTATCAAGGTTCGTTGCTTCCTTGTCCTTTTTTTTTTTTTTTTTTTTTTTTTTTTTTTTTTTTTTTTTTTTTTTTTATAGATATAATTATATTTTTGGTCTTAGATTTATAGGTGCCTATTCATTTTTAGTTCTTTTTTTTAAATATCTATTTTCGGTCATAGTATTGATGTGGCATGATTATTTTTTGTCATTTATCAACAAAATAGGTTAAGTTTTGTTAAATTGAAGTGCATTTCAGGCTTCAATTATGGATTTTTTCAAAAAAAAAAAAAAACAGATAAAAAATATAGCGGGTCAACCCTCTTTGTATAAAAGAGGTTGAAATGTTCTTATATTTAAAAGCATTTCAATGATTTTGTTGAGGAAGATAAAAAATGGTCATGCCACAATAATACTAGAACTAAATGAGAATGTTATAATAAAAAAAAATAAAAAAATTAAAAGTAAACTGCTACCTATAAATGTTGGACAAAAAATGGAATTAACTCCTTTTTACATACTCCTACTTTTCCTTCCATTTGCTTGGGTACATGGTCTATTCAAGTTTATTACGTAGAGAATTGATTAGGAATTTATTGATAATGACTTTGCTATGTTCTAGTGAGGCTACTCTAATTTTTTATGGATCAACCCTCTCTCTAAAATAGTTAGAGTATACTCCATAGCATATTAGCATATCGAGGCAAATTATTGTGTGGACCATGAATATCAGTACATTTTAAATATATTAAAAGTATATTATTTTTGTATTGAAGGTACATTATTTTTGTTTTGAAGGTACATTATATAAAATAATGTACCCTTTAATATATTAAAAATGTACTTTCAAAAAATGTATCTTACGTACATAAATAATGTACTCTTAGTATATTAAAAATGTACTTTTTATTTATAGTCTACACAATTGTATGGACCATGGTCCATGTAATAATGAGCCCGGCTTTAGGGATCCCAATTTTACGGAGTATAATACTATAATTTATAGGTTGAAGTTTTAGGAAGCCATTTTTTGCTTTCTAAAAACACAACATAGTCTCACAGTTCCCTGTTGCCTTAAAAGATAGAGATCTGGGTACGGTAATCCCAGTCAAGATGATAAAGTTATGAGTTCGAATCTCAACTTTATTGATTTAAATTTACCAATTATGAATAAGATTTACTTCGGTTATTGGAGTTAAAAATAGATATCTAATTGGTTCTCGGTTTCTTCAGATTGTCAAACCCCAAAACAAAGAGATCAGTGACATCCCGGGATTAGCACCACCAGTTCCCAATCGACGATTACTCTGGAGCCCTAAATGATGCTCGCAGCAACTTGATTGTTACAAACACAGTTATTTTGAGTTATCGCTCATTTGGTAAGTTTTTACTTAGCTTGTGACATTGTTGGATGCACCTACCTGTTCGGGCTCGCTCTCGTCAAACATGACGAATATGAGAAGCAAGAATCAACCAGAACGTGGCTTTGGTCTGCTAACTTTTGCTAATCAATCTTTTGTATAATCTATGTTGTTTGGTTGATATGATCTAATTGGAGTTAATGTTTGTTCTTTAATTTATTACTCATTCTGTATTTAGATCAGAGCAGTTCCCATTTGATTATGGGAACTTTGAATGTACGTGTAAAAGATATCAACCAAATGAAATTTGTGTAAGGCTCAGCATCCTATGAATGTTTAATGACAAGTTAATCTTGTATCTATATATATTGACAAAGTTTTATTATATTTTCTACTATATTCATATATTGATGATAGGAAAAAAGAGAAAATGTCATCTTTTGTAAAGTTTTTGAACTATTTGAAAAAATACATACAATTAGACTCGTTCAAATTAAATTATAACAAATTTCCAATTAAAACTAACCTAAAATAATGTAGAAATTAAAAAAATGTTTTTTTTTTAAAGTCAACTTGGCGGTTGTATTTATAGATAAGCTGAAATAGAGTTTGGTAGGACATTGTCCCAGTACATAGCAGTAGCGAAATCAAAAGCTATAGTAGCTAGGGAATGAGCTAACAAGTTCTGTAATCTAGGAATGTAAATAACTGAGCAAAAAGTAAAAGTAGATATGTAGGCTCTGCAACTATCAATAGCATAACCTAGATATGAACGTGATGTGGTTGGTGGTCCAGAAAGATAACTCTGTAGTACCTGACAATCCGTGTGAATTTGTATAGACTGTTCATCGCGCCTTTTAAGCCACGATAATGCTTCCTTGCATGCAAATGCCTCGGCCATGAGTGGAGAGACGCAATCCATTAGCGGGGCACTGAAAGCTGATATATATTGGCCATCGGCGTTGAGGAGCACCGCACCAACTGCCGCCGCATTTGTTCCGTGATGATAGCTCGCATCTATGTAACAATTCATGGGCCTTATCACCGTACCATGCTGAAGTGCCGTACTGCTGAGTGGCGGAGGCAGTGGACGCCCGACAGCATCTTCGACCGGCCGAGACAGTCCGGCAGTGGGAATAATTGCGGCAGTCCCGGGGGGTTGAGTAGGTTGCCGTGTTGGGGTACGGTGATGGACATCTTTCCATGCCTTCATCGTAGCCATTGCAATCGTAAGTAATTTTGTTGGCCTTGGTAGGCAGGCATCCCAGACCGCACCGTTTCGGGCCCTCCATAGGTGGTATAAAATTGCAGCTGCATAAATAATTCCATTAAAGTCTAGAACATTCAAGATTGCACTAAACCATTCATGGAAAACATTTGTGATAATATTGGGAATTGGAAGGTTGGATTGAGCCCATATGGAGTGTGCATAGTCACACAAAACTAATGCATGCATGGTATCTTCATTCACCATCCTACACATGGCACACATCGGATTAACATCCACTCTCTTTATTAGCAAATTGTTGGTAGTAGGAAGAATATCACAAATAGCTCTCCATAGGAATGTCTTCCATTTGGGTGGAATTTTCAATTTCCATAGGGCTAGCCACTCATCAAATATCCCATTAGAATTATTCACATAATCACCAACTATACGCCTGTATCCACTCTTGACCGAATAACATCCATTAGGATCATCATACCAATACCATATATCATCATAATCCGGGGCAACCGGTATCCTCTGGATTCTAGGTATATCACTTCGTTGAAAAATATCAGCTAGTATATGCGGATCCCAAGTATCCGTATCCTGATCAATTAATCCTACAACTTTGGCTCCAGACAGGTGTTGTGGCATTTCCGTGTGAATCATAGGATCCAGTTCATCTTGCAGCCATAATACTGCGCCAGAAAAAACTAGGATTATTTCCTATACTCGCCTCCAGGAAAGTATCCATTGGGTAATATCTGGCTTTATAAACCCTGGCTACCAATGAGTCAGTGTTAGTGAGCAGTCTCCATGCCTGCTTTCCTAACATTGCCAAATTGAAAGCTCTTAATTCTTTAAAACCCAGCCCACCATGCTTCTTTGGGATACATAACTTATCCCAGGCTTTCCAGTGAATGCCTCGGTCAGTACCTGATCCCCACCAGTACCGGTTCATAACTCGCTCAATAGCAGTACAAATAGATATAGGTAATAGAAAAACACTCATTGAAAATGTTGGCATTGCCTGAGCCACACTTTTCAACAAAATTTCTTTACCAGCCTGTGATAACAATCTCTTGTTCCAAGACCCAATCCTCTGTTTGATCTTATCCTCAATATATGCAAATGCGGCCTTCTTATTCCTTCCCACAAAGGAGGGTAGTCCTAGGTATTTCCCAAAGTTGGGAGCTTGAGTAACACCTAGGATTTGTGCCACCATATCCTTATCGTTCTGTCCTGTATTCCTGCTGTAACATATACTGGACTTATGGTAATTTACCTTCTGACCAGATAAACTCTCATATAATAATAAACAATTTTTTTTATTATCTCAGATGCTTCCTGCATATTTGCTCTGAAAAACAGTAGGCTATCATCTGCAAAAAATAAATGAGAGATCGGAGGTGCACCTCTAGCAACCCTGCAACAATGTATTAATCCTCTATCCTGCGCTCGCTGCAATAAAACTGAAAGCCCTTCCGCACAGATAATAAACAAATCAGGGGATAACGGATCTCCCTGCCGCAGGCCACGGGTGGGCGTGATGGAGGAACTACGGGAGCCATTTATCATAAAGGTATATGACACAGTAGTCACACATAACATAATTAATTCAATCCACATATTATCGAAACCCAGAGCTAACAACATCCCACGGAGGAAAGTCCATTCCTTACGGTCATAGGCTTTGGCCATATCAAGCTTGAGCACCCCAACCTACCGCCCCACACTGTTTCCTATTCAAGTAATGCCCCACTTCTGCAGCTACAAGAATATTATCAGTAATCAGTCTGTCAGGAATAAATGCACTTTGTGAGCCAGATATTATACTTTCCATTAAAGGCTTCATTCTCTGTGTAATCATCTTAGCCATTATCCTGTAGATCACATTGCTCAAAGCTATTGGCCGAAAATCTGCTACCACCTCAGGGGTTTTCTTTTTTGGGATGAGCACCACATTCGTATTGTTCAGGTCAGAGGGGAAAATCCGATTATTAAGACAATTCAGTATAAATGCCGAAATATCATTACCAACTACATCCCAGAAATGTTGGTAGAAACCTGGGTTCATACCATCCGGTCCAGGTGCTTTGTCTGGGGCCATCGCAAACAGGGCATCCTTTACTTCAGTTACCTCAAAGGGTCGTAACAATGATTCATTCTGAGCTTGGGTTACACGGGGGATACCTCAGAAAATAAACTGCCAACATCCACAGGACCACAAGAGGAGAAGATATGGCTAAAATATTCCAAGATAATTGTATTCATAGCATTTCCTTCCATCCAGTCCCCATTATCATTCATAAGTTTATAAATAGTATTTTTCTTTTTACGATGAGAGGCATACATGTGGTAGAACTTCGTATTAGCATCTGCATTCTTAAGCCAGTGTTGCTTGGCTCTTTGTCTCCAGTAAGCATCCTCCTGGATCTCCATATTGCTCAGAATTCCCTGTAGCCGTTGGAATTCAGCTAAGGATGCTGGATCAGTGCGACCCCTAAGATGTAATTGCTGCTTCCGCAGGAGCATGATATTCTCACCAAACTTATGATACCGGTCTCCACCCCATTTGGATAACTGGTTCCCATAGTATGCTATACAGTCTACTGTGGTAGGCATGGGAAAAGTAGTTCTCAGAATGACCTCTGGGAAAGAGCTGACTCTGAACAACGTCTTGTACGTACCGGAGCTACAGAAGAACTTAGTTTCTGGTTCATTGTTGAACAAGAATGACTTCCGGTTAGTGTTTGAGTCAGATAAAGTTGTTTTGTCAAAATCAGGAATGTACGTAGGCATGGGTTATGTGCTAGATGAGCTCTTTAAGCTTGATGCAATAACCGCGATTAATAAAAGCATTGTTAATTCAGCGTACTTACTTGAGTATTCGTGTTTGTGGCACGGTAGACTGGGTCATGTTAATTTTAATTCTATACGTAGATTAATTAACTTGGACCATATTCCTGCATTTCAAGTTGATAAGCACAAATGTGAGATTTGTGTTGAGGCAAAACAAACGAAAATTCCTTTTAAATCGATTGAAAGGAAAACAGAACCACTTGAGTTGGTTCATAGCGATGTATGTGATTTTAGATCAATACAATCGCGCGGTGGTAATAAATATTTCATCACGTTTATCGACGATAGCACACGATACTGCTATGTGTATTTGCTTAAGAGCAAAGACGAGGCCGTCGATAAATTCATTCTTTATAAGAATGAAGTGGAAAACCAACTTAATCGTAGGATTAAGAAGGTTAGAAGCGATCGAGGTGGTGAGTACGAAGCACCTATTGGTGACTTTTGTGCAAGTGTAGGTATCAATCGAACGGTGTTGCCGAACGGAAAAATCGCACATTGAAAGAGATGATGAATGCGATGTTGATAAGTTCGGGCCTACCTCAAAGTATGTGGGGAGAGGTGATTTTGACAAGTAACTACCTTATAAATAAGGTTCCCCGCAAGAAGCTCGATAAGACTCCTTATGAGCTGTGGAACGGTAGGAAACCTTCCTACCAGTACCTGAAAGTGTGGGGGTGTCTTGCTAAAGTTTTGGTGCCAACACCTAAGAAAATGAAGATAGGTCCAAAGACGGTGGACTGTATCTTTATTGGTTATGCACATAACAGTAGTGCGTATCGGTTCTTAGTACACGAGTCCTATAATCCGGACGTATATAAGAACATGATAATTGAATCAAGGAATGCATCGTTCTTTGACGATGTATTTCCGTGTAGGTCCAGTGAGGGACCTAGTACGTCGAAACGAACATTCGACGAGGCTGTGGATAACGGCAGTGGAGGGTCTGAAATAGAACCCGAGCTCGAAGCTAGACGTAGCAAGCGAGTTAGGATTGAAAAATCCTTTGGTCTAGATTTTCTGACGTACATGTTAGAATGTGATACACATATTCTAACTTGTTTACTTGAAAATGAACCGGATTTTCTGACATGTTTGTTAAAAAACGAGCCTCAAACGTATGTAGAAGCTGTGACTTCTACGGAAGGACCAATGTGGAAAGAGGCTATAAAGAGTGAAGTGGATTCTATCCTAGAGAATCACACTTGGGAACTGGTTGATCTTCCTCCGGGTAGTAAGCCCTTGGGATCCAAGTGGGTCTTTAGACGGAAGTTGAAACCTGATGGTTCCATTGAGAAGTATAAGGCTAGACTTGTAATTAAGGGTTACAGGCAACGCGAGGGCCTTGATTACTTCGACACGTATTCTCCCGTAACGAGAATAAATTCCATAAGGATGATACTTGGCATAGCCGCACTGCGGAATTTGGAAGTTCATCAAATGGATGTGAAAACAATTTTCTTGAACGGCGAGTTAGATGCAGAAATCTATATGGAACAACCTGAGGGTTTTGCGATTCCGGGCCAAGAAAAGAAAGTCTGTAAATTGGTTAAATCGTTATATGGTTTAAAACAAGTGCCTAAGCAGTGGCACGAGAAGTTTAACCATGCGATGTTAACCAATGGGTTTAATATAAACGAAAGTGACAATTGTGTCTACGTTAAGGAAACGATAGACGGTTATGTCATTCTTTGTTTATATGTGGATGATATACTCATCGTGGGTAGTAACGATCGAATGATCAAGTCTACCAAGGACATGTTAAATTCGAGATTTGACATGAAGGATATGGGCTTGGCTGATTTAATCCTTTGGATTAGAATCGTGAGAAGACCTGATGGTCTCGTGTTAAGCCAATTTCATTATGTTGATAAAATCCTTGCAAAGTTTAACAAGGATGATTATCAAGTGGCTAGGACTCCATTAGATACTAACGTTCATCTGTCCAAAAATTGCGGAAAATGTATCTCTCAAGTAGAATACGCTAGGATTATTGGAAGTTTGATGTATCTAATGAGCTATACCAGGCCTGATATTGCCTTTGCGGTTAGCAAACTCAGTAGATATATGAGTAACCCCAGTGATGCGCACTGGAAGGCAATAGTGAGAGTTATGAGATACTTGAGGTATACTCGTGACTGGGGACTGCACTATACATGATATCCTGCTGTACTTGATGGGTATAGCGACGCTAACTTGATATCGGATATGAAGGACTCTAAGTCCACAAGTGGCTACGTGTTTACGTTAGCCGGTGCAACCGTTTCTTGGAAATCCTCGAAACAAACCTTGATAGCTAGATCCACGATGGAATCTGAGCTGATAGCCTTAGACAAATGTTGTGAAGAGGCTGAATGGCTACGCCATTTTGTGGAGGACATTCCATGTTGGGATAGACCTGTACCTCCAATTAGTGTGCATTGTGATAATCATGCAACAATTGGGATAGTACAAAGTCATATGTATAATGGCAAGTCTAGACATATACGTCGAAGACATAATACCAATAAACAACTACTCACAACGGGTGTTGTCTCTGTTGACTATGTGAAGTCAAAGGACAATATAGCGGATCCGCTACCCAAAGGGCTGAGCAAAGATGTTGTTGAGAAATTGGCACGAGGAATGGGTTTAAAGCCCTTGGAATAAAAGTTCTATAGTGGACACCCAACGTAGCTGGCACCTAGGTTCAATGGGACAACTAAATTATGGAACGAAGCGTGTCACTGTGGGGGTCTCGGACTCCCTACCATTCCTCGTTAGAACAGTGACTCCCGCACGAGGCTAGCATG